TTTAAATTAAAGTTACAATATTATTATCAATATTTTTTGTACTATACAAAATTTTCCTAAAATGGTTATTCGAGAAATTTGACAAAATGTAAAAAAATAATTTTTTATAAAAATTGTTCAAATAAAAGTTGTTTGTAATATAATTCTATGATTTTTATCCTATACATAATTTCTCTAAAATGGACCGTATTCGAGATATTTGAGAAAATGTGTAAATTTCGAATTTTGAAGAAAACTCAAAAACGGATAAAGGAAAAAACATTAAATTTTAAAATTAAGTTTTATTTCGGCCTGGAGAAGAAAATTGTTCAAATAAAAGTTACTTCTAATATCTATAATTTTTGCTTTATGTCAAATTTTCCTGAAATTGTCCGTATTCGATAAAGACAAAATGTGCAAAATTCTGATTTTTAAGAAAATTGTTAAACTAAAAGTTGTTTGCGATATCGATCTCTATAATTTTTGTTTTTACATGATTTTTCTAAAATGGACCGTAATGGAAAAATTGGAGGAAAAGTGCTAAATTTAAATTTTTCGTTTTCAATGAATATCTATAGAAAAATGTTTCGAGTTAGATGTATGTGGAAAATGTATATATTTAGTTTATCCTCTAACATTTATAGAGGTGCTAGAATAGGTTGTACAAAATAACCGGAAAACCCCTATAATAACTAGATAGGAAAGTCATGTGTTGGACACATCAGATTTTTTGATGTTGATGACGACATAAATAACACATGATCAGTAACATTATGAGCAACAACGTCATTCATGTATGAGTACATTATAACACACAATCATTCAGCTATTATATCATTTTTATTAAATGGAAGTAATACCCCGCTGATTTCATTTATATTTATTTGTCAAGTGATTTAAATGAAATTTTGGAGAGATATTTTACACGAAATTCTATATTCTCTTTTATTTTTACATTTTTTTTTATCTAAGCTGATTTTCCGAGATATTTTTTTTAATTATACCATTTTTAAAAAAACTGGATTTTAAACAAAATAGATACTGAAATTACCTTAACTATCTTTAAATTCCAAATGTCTACTCTTTTTCTATTAAGAGGAATCTATTCTCCTATTTTTTAGTAGATTTTTATTTCACAAGCGATATAAATGTATTTTGTTTACACATTTTATGCGAAATTCTACAATAATTTTTATTCTTAATTTTTTTTAATTTAAGCTGATTTGCCAAGATAAAAATATATATTTTTTAATTATGCCCTTTTTTTAAAAACTGACTCCCGATAAATCTAGATAATGACATTATGTAACCATTCCTAAAATTTCAAATTTTTGCTTTTTTAAAATTACTTTAAAAGTGGATTTTTAAAATAATTTTACACGGTAATAGAAAAAAATAGAAATTTTAAATTTCAGGAATGGTTAGATAATGTCATTATTTAGATTAATGATGAGCCAGTTTTTTAAAATTGAGCGTAATTAAAAAATATATATTTATCTTGGATAATCAGTTTAAATTAAAAAAATTAAAAAAATTAAAAAAAATTAATATAGAGTTTAGTGTAAAATGTGAAAAAAAATCTTTTAAATCGCTTAAGAAATATAAATCAAGTATTTTTTAAGAGTATTACTTCCTTTTAACGTATAAAATGAGGTTATAAAATCAGTGTTTAAAAAAATGGTATAAATAAAAAAAAATATTATTCAAATCAATTTTTAAAAAAATTGTTTTATAAATAAAAATGAATAGAAAATTTCATATAAACTTTTATTTAAATCGCTTGAGAAATATAAATAAAATATTACGTCAGGGGGCAGGGCACATATTCCTTAAAAGCAAAACTTTCGAATAGCTCACCTACAAAAAAAAATGATTTTAGCTCTTACGATTGTGGTAAATAATTTAAAAGTATCCGAATGCCGAAAAAAGTATCCGGTATCCGGATACTTACAAATTTGGTCACGGATACGGATACTGGATACAAAATTTGCAAAGTATCCGGATACAGCTTTCGGATACACATCGAAGTATCCGGATACTACCCGACTCTGACACACACACAGACATCATCGCCAAAATAGGGACCGTGTGTGAAATATAGAAGAGGTACTACTGCTGAAGTTAGCCCTCTTTAATTTTAGAATTAAATGAGGTAAACATTGCAAGTAAATAATAATGGGAATTTTTTAAAATATTAAATGTAGGTACCGGCCCGAAACAATCATGTACATGGTCATAATAATATCAAATGTGAAAAATTATTACAATAACATGTAAAATATTAAATAACAGAATAATATTGTTTTTAGCTTGACGTTAGCCGAAATGTCATGCATCCACATTAGACGTTTTGAGATACCCAATGTTATACGAGATTGTTCACCCATCTGTAAATAAGACTACGAAAAGCGGGTTGCAATGAGCGCTGCTATTTCCCAGTGCTCACTGAATAGAGCCGTTCTAGCGCAATGGTGTTTTAAAATAAAATTTTATCACTTGAATTTCAAAAAAAAAAAAAAAATAATAATTTTTACTTCGACACGTTATTTAGGTATTTTAAAAGTTGAGTTTCCATGTAGTTAAATAATATTAAGAGATCTAAATAATTTTTATAACATGGATGTAAATAATTTTAGATCACCCTCATTTCAGAAATAACACTAAGCTATACCTCGTACTCATTGATATAGCGCCTGTCAACTGTGGTATGCAACTACGCGGTCAGTTTGTTTGGATTTTTATTGGTACGCTGATTTTCCTTGGATAGTCACATTCAAGTACTAACTGTTGGCGACCCTGCTTAACTGCAGTTATTGATAGACAATAGTGAACCTGATAAGCCGGGCCGTTGCCCCATAAAAATATTCGGAGGAAAAAGGAGATTTTCTGACTTACAGGTTGCTTAAAATTTCTACAAAATGTTTTAGTACCATTGTGTAACTTTCAATTTTACCTAGTGGAAGTTGATACGTAAAATAAAATAAGTAATTTTTCACAATGCTCAAAAAGTTGCGGTATAAAACGTCAAAATTCCTATTATTGGTAAAATCCTATTTTTAATTCTATACCCCGCCGTGTAATAATTATTGAACGTTATTGTTTTAACAAATATTAGAAACAAACCAATTTGAACAAAATAGAACGGTTATGTAAAAAAATAACTGCGTACCCAAATAGCACACGACGTCTGAAAGACGTCTTTTTGTGTCTTGGTTTGGTCTCGATGTCCTAGGACGTTATTAAGACGTCTTATGAGACGTCTGTCAAAAGCCATAATTCAGACGTATTAATGTGAGAGCTCAAAGACGTTTTTAAGACGTCTAAAAGACGTCTTTCCAAATCCATATATTAATGTGAAAGCTCAAAGACGTCGTACAAACGTCTTTCAGTCGGACGGAAACTTGCACGGTTTACATAATTCAAATTTAAAAGAAGAATCAAATGAAGTGAAGCATTTCACCTAGGACTTTCTTAGGATACAGTTCGCAAATTTACGGAGCATTGTTTACGTTTTCAATTCTGACAGCTGTCAAATTAATATTTTTCTTTATTCGATTACCCCCCGCCAGTGTAAGTAAATCCCAGAAAAGGGTATAGGTCAATGACCGAGCCCGGAAGGGCCTCCGAAGCATCCATTAAGGATTTTGAAACCACCTACACCAAAAGACTGAAAACCATGCAGGTTTACTGTCGATGCCCTGAAGAAACTGAACACAATTACAAACTTCAAATCCCCAAAAACTTCCGGAAAAACAAAACTGAGGACACAGCTGGAGCATTCAACTGTGAGTACCACTCCAAAACTAACAACAAATAACCCAGGGGTCATCTGCCCGGTACTAGCCCCCCCCCTGGCAAAACATTTTGAAAGTCGACCTTCAGCTGACCGCCAAAGTGTTGCTGAGGCGGCAGAGCCGCCGGCAAATACAATAGAGGGGGAAATCCCTCGAAAACCATCAGTTGCCAGCTCGGATGAGTCGCTGGAATACTTAGATAGTCAGGAAGACAGTGCAAACAGCAATACTGACAAAACCCATGATGAATCAGTTAAAAAACTGCTCGAGGATCTTGAAAACTCTGACGAGTCGATAAATTCCACAAAAAGCGTGGAAAATATGGATACAACAATGGTGGAAGTAAACCCTGAAAAAGAACCCGGAGAGAAATCCCCGGAAAGTGATAAATTTGTATCCTCATATGTCAAAGGGGCAGAAGGAATTACATTTAAAACCCTCAGTTTACCTCCTAATGTAATGGCGAATCTCCTTGACTTCAACACTAACAACTTTAGTCAAAACTCAGGAAATAACACACAAACATCGTTTGGAGGTGTGGTAAGTACTCAAAGTGGGGATGAACTGAGTAGTTCCCGCTTTGGGTATGATCCCGCAACCCCAGCCCCGATATTAGGAACGCAAATAGATCTAAGCACGGTGGTTATAAAAGGCACTGGAGCAATTAATAAACAACCCCTGATAAAAGATCCCAGAATACGCAGAAAGGGACTCCCTTGTAGTGTTGAGACAAACATCCTCAACTACGAATCGAGTATCACATCTGATGATGACAGAATGAACAGGAATGACAATCTACCTCGCTCTCCTAACAGCACATTCGAACTTAGATCTCAAGCTGAGAGGTATAAGTACGAACAAGAATTAAGAGACATTGAAACCGCAAAAAGAGGGAGTACGGAGCAACCCTTCGTTAAACCGAGAAAATTTTCAACAAACTTTGAGAAATTGATAAGTGAGAAAACTAAGAAAACCATCACACCCATAAACAACAAGTTCAGTATAATTACTGACGAATCAGAGCCGGAAGTAGATGATGACGAAATAGGAAGAATCGTCAAAAAAAGGAAAAAGGGACAGATATTCAAACCCCTCTAGTATTCGACGAATTACCCTCACCCTCAAATGCTACCATTTCGCAAAGTAAAGCTGAATCCCCGAGTAAAACTAACAGTACTAATAACAAGAAAACTGCACCCCCAATTAATACAAAAAATATTAAAACCACAAAAAAATCGATGCCTCCTATCGTCATAGATGGCAAAACTACTGACCAGCACTCACTCATCAGAGACCTCAAAATACAGGTAAAGGGCGACGTTAGTGTGAAACACACAAATGCTACCACCATAATTTTCGTAGAAGAAAGAGAGGATCATGCTAGAGTAATAAATAACATAAAAAATGACAACATATCCTACCACACATTCACATCAAACGAGGAAAAATCTCATGCATTTGTGCTACGGGGATTGGCAGAAAGTACGAAAATTCCACACATCGAAGAAGACTTGGAGGAGGAGCATGAGATTAAACCAAGGTCAATCTTCCATATGAAAACCAGAGACAGGCCCCTGTTTCTGGTAGTTACTGACACTGCCATAACGTTGGACTACTTGAATAAGAATGTCAGGAGAGTATTACATACAATTTAAGGGTAGTCTGGGAGCTACGTAAATCGACAAAGGCTATAATACAGTGTCATAACTGCCAGCAATGGGGGCATGTCACTTCTAATTGCGGCAGACCTTCTAAGTGTGTGAAGTGCGCGGGTGATCACCACACAAAAACATGCCTGAAAACGTGAGACACGCCGGCCATTTGTGTAAATTGCGGGGGTGATCACCCCGCAAACTATTCAAAATGTACAGCATACATCACCAAACTAGAAAGATTAGAAGAGCGACGACCTAAGCCTAAGCAGAAATTTGTCACCGCCCCAAAACCGGTGGTCAACCAATGGGAGGCCAGAATGCGAAGAAGCGCTAACACAGAATTTCCGGCCCAGCCCTCTAGAAATTAGGGAAGGGTAAAACAGTGACTTTTTAATAACAGGTACAGTCTGCTTCAGTTCCATAAAATACCTGTTTCAAAAAACCTGTTCCAGTTCCACGTTGTTCCAACAATTTAAACCGTTGTTTGTTGTTTCGCGTCTGTTGCGACTTGCAAGCGCGAAGTCTCACACATACAGAAACACCGAAACCACGATACCGAAACTATAACAAGACAGTTTTACGTCGACGAAACAGCTTTATTTTTTAATGTTTCCACTGTTTCAAGGGTACCTGTCACAGTGTAGCAGTCGCAAAAACGCAAATTTTAACTTAAGTTGTTATTAATTATTATTACACCTATTATGATTAAGTTTTTTTTTGCTGAAAAAAGAACTAAACTAAAAACACTATTGAATAAAGAATAAGTATGTTTCATACAATCTTATTTTATTTTTGTTTCATTTCAAAAAAATAACACAGATCACAGATTCTATATAATATTCATTATTTAATAATAAATATCAAGCTGTTTTAATATTACTGCTGACTAGTCTGTAACTGCAACAGGCAACTGTCACAGTAACAATAATTAATATTATTAAAACCAATGCTTAATAACAAGTTGTTCCAGTCCCACGCAATTTGCGCTCTGCGACTGACAGAAAGTAGCAATTTAAAATAAACAATCACCGGCCACCACATACTTCGATATGTGCCGTCCACCGAAACAACTGTTTCGTGATTCGATGCGTACCTGTTCCAGTCCCACGCAATTTGCGCTCTGCGATTGTGACAGAAAGTAGCAATTTAAAATAAAAAATCTCCGTCCACCGTCCACCACCTTTTTATTTTTCTATGGTCCACCACATACTTCGATATGTGCCGTCCACCGAAACAACTGTTCCGTCGAACTGTTTCGTGATTCGATTCATACCTGTTCCAGTACCACGCAATTTGCGCTCAGGATAGCTATTCACTAAGTCATGGGAGCGCTCCCATGGGAGTGCTCCCATATATTTTGCTCTCTTACTCTTAGGTGGGTATATCGTGCTTACTCACTTTTAGCACAGGTACATGCGTAGTAAGGTCAGATTTTATACTATGGGAGGGAGAATTGCGGGCTTGCCAGATTAGGTCCGTATTTATCACAAAGCAAATTTGAACTACTAAGGGCCGATTCCACCGTTGAGTTAAACGGAGATTAAAATGACATTGTTAATGTAAAAATGTCATTTTAAACTTCGTTTAACACAACGGTGGATCGGTCCTTAAATAGTAGATCAAAGTTATTCTGTCGACTTGGCAACGTTGGCATGGGAGTATGGGAGCATGGGAGTGTGGGAGTGTTCCCATGAGTTAGAGAATAGGTATCCTGCGATAAAATAAACTGAATCTCCGTCCACCGAAACAACTGTTCCGTGGAACAGTTTCGTGATTCGACGTATACCTGTTCCAATCTGTTCCAAGTGAAAACCTGTTTAAAAAATAACAGATTCTGCTTCAGCGACACACCCTACTAGAAATGACAACAGGGAAGCAAATCAAGCTAAGAAAACTCCAGAATTAACAAGAATACCTACCCCTACCCCTAATAATACCATGGACGATTTCTCGGCACTAAATTCGGAATTTGACAATTAAACAGGTTAGTTAATATTGGCGAACTTACTAGAGCGGTCAGAGAACTGAACGCCAGACTCATAAATTGTAGAAACGGACAGGAAATTATAGAAACATATAACGCGTTCATGAAAAACGTAGATAAAAACTTCAATTTAAGGAACTGAATTCGATTCTAGAGACAAACATAAACTCAAAATTTGTTTTTACAATGCAAATGGGATGCGTACCAGAACCCAACTTGTACGCAGTTTCATTCATAAATATAATTTTGACATCGTACTTATTACGGAGACTGATTACAAACAAACGGACAAAATTAAAATACATGGGTACGATACCATCCGACATGACAGACCGGATCAGTCATGGGGTGGCGTAGCCTTCTTTATTAAATCTAATATTACCTATCAGCAACTTCCAAATCTCGATTTCAATTTAGATCATCTTGTAATTAAAATTAATCAAATTACGTTTGTAGGGTTGTATAACGCACCAAGTAAAACATTAACTAAAATTATTATAAATAAAATCATGATGTCAGGTAACAGAGTTCTTTTGCTGGGAGATCTAAACGCCAAACACCCGCACTGGGACTCGTACTGTACGGTCCCAAATTTAAGTGGAAAAAATCTGAATAATTTCGCCGAAGGCAATGACGTAATTATCCACTATCCTGAAGACCCCACTCACTTTCCTTCATGTCCTACCCACCTCCCTAGCACCCTTGACATTGCGGCTGCCAAAAACATACCAAATATTGATAAGACTAGGACAATCAAGACACTAACATCAGATCACGGCCCTGTATACATGGAGATTAGGACAACCTGTCCGATTCCCAGGATGCAGGGTCGTTATCATGACTACAATACTATAGACTGGACGAAATACAGGACAATTCTAGACAATAACCTAACAATTAACAACAACATTAATGACAAAAAACTCTCTTGAGGAAGAACTAAATAACTTGAATTTAGCTATAAACAAAGCAAGAGATGCCTCAACAAAAATCATTGCACATAAACCGTACAAGGATGATCTTCCTCAAGAGATTTTAGACCTTATCAGCAACAAAAATCACTTACGAAAACGTTGGCAGTCGTATAGACAGGTCGCGGATAGGGTAATGTTTCAACAGCTTGGTAAAGCCATAAATAGACAAATAAATGAATTCAGGAACTTACAATGGCGCAGAACCCTAGAAGCGATCAATATACGAGACAATTCAGTGTGGAAAACTGTGAGACGATTCCGAAAACCGTTCTCACAGCTGCCCACACTGAAACAAAATGACGAAACATACATTACAGACGAACAAAAATGTACAGCCTTCGGTGAATTTTTTCAGACAAATTTCGTAAATGATCAAGCTAACAATCCACTACAAAATGAAATCACCGAAATTGTAAATAAAATCAAAAACTTGCCTACTCAAACAGTGTCACAAGAACAATTAACTACACCCAAGGAGATAATTGAAATTGTCAAAAGGACTCCCAGTAAGAGAGCTCCTGGGCCTGATAATATTCACAATAAGCTATTAAAAAATTTGTCTAGAAAGGCATTTGTGCATTTGCACTACATTATAAATGCAATCATCAGAATTCAATGGTATCCGGACACATTAAAAGTTGCTAATGTTGTTCCGATATACAAACAAGGTAAAAATAGATTTAATATTGAGAGCTATCGCCCCATATCTCTTCTCAGTGGCATTGCCAAAATCACAGATCGTGTCCTGCTCACGAGGCTACAGACTTACGAACAGGACAATCCGATTATTCCGTCAGAACAGTACGGTTTCAAAGCTGGACACAGTACGATAGCGCAAGTACTGCGAATAGCTCACCATGCTAAAAAGGCAATGAATCCAAACAAACAGACAGTACTTGTTGCACTCGATGCTGCGAAGGCATTTGACACCGTCTGGACTGATGGTTTAATCTACAAAATGTTCATGAATGATTACCCTGTTTTCATTGTAAAAACAATTCAAACATACTTACTTAACCGTAAATTCTACGTTAAAATCAATAACTCCAGACAAGGACCATACACTGCGCAGGCGGGAGTACCCCAAGGTTCGGTACTTGCGCCGCATCTGTATACTATTATGACACATGATATTCCCATGGGACACAATGGTATACAGACGGCCCTGTACGCCGATGATACTTGTGTATATAAGACCTCACAATCAGCCGAAATTGCGACCAGAAGGCTGGACATTCATATAAACCAAACGTTGGTCCCCTATCTTAGAGATTATAAAATCAAAATTAATCCCATGAAAACAGAAAGTCTCATTCTAACACACAGAATACGGGAAGGCATAATAACAAATCTTAAAGTGCAGGGAAAAGAAATCAAAACTAAGGATAAAATGAAATATCTCGGTTTTATATTAGATAGGAGACTGACGTTTAGGAAACATATCGAAAATAGAATCGCTTTGGCCACAGGAGCTTTAAAATCTTTATACCCGATCATGCACAGGAGAAGTGGTGCAACCACCGAAAATGAGCTTCTAATATTTAAACAAATCATAAGGCCCATTCTAACATATGGAAGTCCAGTCTTCTGTTCGATGGCCAACTCTCACTTTGATAAATTACAGATAATGCAAAACAAGTGTCTTCGGCTGGCATTGGGGTATGACCGTTATGCCAGAATACAAGATATGCACGTGCAAACATCAATGGAGACTATTAAAGATCATATCATACGCATTTCAGAAAATTTTTATGATAAATGTCTACCTCCTGAAGTATATAACGATATAACATCGATACATCATGATGATGGTGTTAATAGGATCCATGGTTGTTTGCATAGTGCACTTAAGATCTATACAAACAACGGATAATGATAATATAAATTCAACAAATGACATACATCCACCGATTAGCAGCGAAAACCCCACTGAATACAATTACAACGTCGACTAGTTAGCAACTTTGGTCGGACGGACGACTGCACGGTGACGTCACTGCCCGGTATTGGAAATTCGTAGCATGCTTTGACTTCTATACTAGGTGGTGGTGTTGCTGTGTAGTCTTGTAATTTGAACTTTCATGCACTAAACTACCACAAGACGCACTTACATACAAGGACAACCCTGTTTTTTACAAACGGTTTTTCAGGGAAAAACATACAAAATTAAAATCATACAAAAACCTAAAACTATCCCATTACCGATCTACTAAAAAAGGGCGGAGGAGGCGATCCAGTCCTGATAATTGATGTAAGCAACTAATAATGCATATTATTATATGTAATTTTCGATGGATTTTCTCCAAAATCTCCATAATGCGCTTGCGTTGCAGTGCCGCTAAACCTCGCCGAGCTGTTCCATTTTTGGTATATACCTCTTTATATAGTCAAAATACTAATTCTATTTACATATACAGCATACAAAGTAATCACAAAAAACATAGTACAAGTACAATAATAAGAGGTTTTACAAAAACAAATTCTATTTACATATACCGTATATAATAGTTATTTACGATATAAGTGGGACAAGTGCTTTATTAACGTACCCACGCGAATTTGCACAACGACTGCGCAGCACAAGTTGGGCAACCGCAAAACAAGTCAAAAATAATTCATTTTTAACGTATTTTTGCATTTTCTAGTAATAAAATGAGTGATTCGGAAAGTTTTTAAATTTTAATCGAATTAGTTCAAAGTCAATGTTTATGCCCCTCGTACTAGAATCGTGTAGGGTTCCACTGGTGGGGAGTTCAGTTGTTACACCTAGCGTTTTCTTGTTTTAATTTTTTCTCAAAGCTGGCACCCTTTATTCGTTTTAGTACGACTGGTAAGTGTATACACTATGTTTAGTCTCCTATAAAATAAGCGATGCTATTGATTAGACAGATGTTAAACATTAGGCGCCAGCCCACTAGCGGTAGAAGCGTATCCATGTGTCCAATCACCGCAGGCAATCGGCCGATTCAAAAGTTTCATCTTTGGGTTAACATATTGTATAAGAATGTCTATTTCATGGCAAACGCCTTAAAACGTTCTTACATTACTTTTTAAAAGTCTATAAGCAAAATGCCAACTTCGGCACAAACTCGACAAAATTAGAAATTGTAACGAAATTGTACGTGATGGAATGTTTTCAATAATTTACCAATAATTGGCACCAAAAATACTATAAAACTCACTGATTGTATTTGAGAGATTTTTTTGTCACAGACCTCTGTATGTAATTGATAAGGTGACAAAGTGAAACCAAGTTAATATTAGTAATTTCTTTTATTCAAAAAAATAAAACAACAGCTGTATTATCACAGCTAAATATAGCTTAATATGTTACATTAAATCGAACTTTCTTCATATAAACAAAGCTTAAACGTTTATAACTATTTTCTTTTAATACTTTGTTATATATTAACAAGGAAGTTATTATTTATTCATAGGACAAATTTGATTTTACAACAAATCAAATATAAAAGGAGAATTCTGAAAAAAAAAACATGGATTTTGATAAAAAAAATAAATGTATTTCTTATATGAAATAAAAATAAAGTACCTATCAGGTAACTAAAAATAAAAAATCCACATTTGACATTTTTTTCAAAAACCTCTTTCAATAGGAGTATTCTTACTCGAAAAATCAAGATAATATCAACATCAAATTTTATCGAATTAACACATTTCTGTTTTCTGTAGAACTCCCTTAACATGTAATTTAACCTCAACTGGACTATATTATTACTGATCCACAAAAAATGTGTAAAGTAGGCCATGATTGACAAATGTGGATTAAATCCAAACTGTCATAAAAAAAAGAATTGTACTCTGACTTATGTGATTTAACGGCCTTAGAGACAATTTTTTTTGTGGATCACTGCATATTTGTACTCAAAAGACTACTCATTTCTTATTTACGACAAACAAATATTCAAAACTTTTTTGATTCTTTCCACATTTTAATTGAAATTAGGTTAGGTTAGGTAAAATAAATCGGCCTTAACAATAAACTTGATGTTATTCAATCGAGTTGTTTACTTTCAAATATCCAAATTTTACTGATATGTCAGAAAGAAATGAAAACCCTTCTGGGCAAAATAAAAATGATGAGATTGGGATGAGGATGATGACAATACGCTGTATTATAGTCGACGCGCCGAAGAGATACAGTGATCACGTGCGCTTGATGTACACATTCAACCTAAAATAAGTCTGAAGATCGTCAACAATTATAGAGGAGGAGCCAACGATTAGGCGAGTGCTTGAGTTTATCAGTTCAAAGCGGACTGTTTTTTGTGCAAACGTTGACCGACAAATATGCAAGGTTTATCCTCCATAATAATCTATCAAAACCTGCTCCTGACATATAACCTGGTTAAATGAACCCAGCTCTTAACACATATTAATCAGTTTTATTGCTGCATCTCTTCGGCGCGTCAACTAGAGTGACGTAATTTGTGGGCCAAACAAAATAACAAAAACTGGCCATTAACTTTGACATATATACCTTTTTTTAATATTATATGTAACCAAATTATTTTTAATGTAACTATTACAGTGGTATACTTTTAAACGAATACAATATGAAAAGAATAGAAATAAAATGTTAATGAATTCTTAACCTCTATTTTTATCTATTATTTTACAGAACTGATTACTAAATAATTATTTAACTAAACTGTTATCTACTTAATTTAAGAATATATTTTAAGATCTAAAATGTCAAAGTAAATAATAGTTCAAAAACTAGATAATAAAGAACTTTGTTTGACACACAAAATTACATCATCACTAATGTTTATTCTGCCAATCGGCTTTTTTTCATGTAGATGGTGCGAATAGCATAGACTGTCCAGATTAGCTACTGAAAATCCATCAGCTGTCAGTAAAATATATCAATGTGTTGACAGATCTTCAGATTTAACGTAAAATGTGGACATGAATTGACACTTTTGCCAAAGTTCAATTTCTTAACAGGGAGATCCTAATCTTAATTATTTAGTAATTAATGTTAGGTGTGGGTAATTTAAGTCGGAGAAACTTAGATGTCCTCCAGAATGAGTTATCCCAATTACTAGACTTCCCTCGCAACAAAGAGAAATGATATGTCTACAAAATGGCACATCCCACAAAATATTAGCATCATAACACAGATCTTATACACCGCATTTTCTAACAACTAGATTGGCAATAGGGGACCATTTAAATGAACCTACAAAATCTCCGGACTTATCAGCCCCAGACTTTTTTTATCTATGGGTGAAAATAAAATGAATAAAGAGAAACGAAAAATAAGACACCATGTGTCCAAAAACTCACATACGCTCCCTTCCCTTCCGTATAAAAATATATTTTAATTTACCGTTTGAAAAAAAGTTTCTTCTATGTTTCTTCGCATTTTAAAGTCTTCAACGATTTACTTGACTCTATAAGGACTTTTGATCATCTCGTCAAGGGTCTTTTGCTTCTTGGTTATCCTCAAGTTCCTGGTGCTCCTGGTGTAGTGGCCTTTGTTGATTTCCTCCTGCAGCCTTTTAGCGAACTCTAAATCGGCTCGTTCTTGGTCCATCTTCGAGTTCGTCTCGGTAACTTTCGAAAGGTTTTCTACGAACCGACCGTTTTTTCTATCATTTTTAACCAAATTTCCGTTCGCCTTTTTTGTCCTATCGAAGCCGTAAAACGGCGGACTTTCCGCTACTTTCTCTGCAGTTTCGACGGCCGTTCCGAACAGTTTCTTTCTGACTTCCGGGCACATCTTATAGTATCCTATTGTAGGAGATGCACCTTTTCCTGTAGATAATGCATTTGTATCTGTTTTAAGTTTCTTATCTGGTGTTGCGAATTGGTTTGGAGATAATGTACGTTTGAAACTGCTAGATCGCGGTGACGATACTAGTGTGGATGTATTGCCGCCCAACGTGGTAGGAATGTCTATGGAAAATTTGGCGAAAGCCGATTCTAAAATGTTCGAACAGAAATTGACCAATCCGCTCGGTGACCTGGAATATAAAATAAATATACTGTCTTAATGTTGATGGCGACATAGTCCAGTCACAGTTTATAGCTAAAGAATCAGTTAGCTCACTCGGAACAATTGGATGTTCCAAAATAACATCCACTCCAGGGATACAAATTCATTTATTATTGTTTTAAGCTTATTTGAAAAATTATTTTTAACTTTTTAGTTTGATATGCTCTAAAAGCGTGTTTTTTAGTTTTTTTAAACTATATTAATTTTTCACTTTTTAGTTCGATGTATTATAAAAGCGTGTTTTTTAGTTTTTTTAAAATATATTTATTTTTTACTTTTTAGTTCGATTAATTATTAAAAAAAAAAATTGCTAAAAAAAAAATATTTTTGAGTCTGGCAATCGAAAACCCGCGCGTTAGACCGCTCGGCCACGAACAAACTTGACTTAGTGGGATATACTGACAGTAATAAGCCACTTGAGTCCAAAGGAGAGTTACAAACGTACATACAGGTGAAGCTAATATAAGCGTGTTAAAAATTGGCAGACTTGGTGACTATTATTTCGAATAAAAAAAGCGTTCAAGATGCAAAACTATGTCGCTACCCCCTTAGATGTACCAAACCTTTTCACTGGCTGCTATTTTGTTTGACAGGTCGTTGGAATATCTAATTGGTTATAGTAAGAGAGCCCACTGCAAATTACGACCGCCATCTGATAACAAAATTAAATATGCTCCAAAGACATGTAACAATATTGTACTTTACCAAATTTCACCTGTGCCAAACTCTATCCTGAGTAAATTGGTTAAAAAAAAATTGTATCCAAAAAATCACATAAGACTTGACAGCGATAATTGTGTTTTCCCTGAAAATTACAAGCCTAATTCATTGTGAAGCTAGCTATTAAACCTGAATTATTAACCTATTACCTACCTTTTAAACCAAGTGTATGTGTGAAAGGAAAAAGGATGGCATTGTATAAACCATTTGCAGAGATAGTCAATAGTAATTATAAACTCTTGTTAGACAATTCTTATATACCAAATTCATAGAAGATAGAAGGCAGATGTTCGACATCAAATTTCTTTATAAAATTTTTAATAATTTAATTGACTATTGAAATTGTAAAATTTATGCACATTAGTATCCCCACCAGGAGTAATACTAATTACCATCTTAACTCTCCTGTTCTCCGTTGCTGTAAATCTTTCAATGCAATCGCAAATCTAGTTGACATCGATATATTTTTTTCTTCCCTAATAACCTTTTCTAAAACACTCAATAATTTTTACTTAAACAATTTATAATAATAATAATAATTTTTTCTTTAACTGTTTAAAATTTGTACATTGTTAAATAATATATCTTAATGTATTTTATCTGTAAACGTTTAACTTTATATCTTACTAGTTATATGTGAATAGTGTTTTTGGGTTCGTCCTGTTTTGTATTCCAACTAAATAAATACATAAATAGTAGTTTTTTTTGTAATTTCTATGGCAACCTGTAATAATGAATCATAATAGGCATACAAATAAATTTTTAAATCAGCAAAAATTGGTTCATATTTTTAATGATTTTTACCTACTAATCGTGTGTATGTAGATGTTTTTGTCCGATGTTAAGAGGAAGAAAATGTTTCCCGTTAACGATATATATCAAGATATATTTGAATATGTTATTATCTGGAAAACTTTTTTAATATAATTTTTTTTAACAACATTGCTCAGGATTGGGATTCGCACAGTTGCCATTTGGCAAAGTACAATGTTTTTACAAGCTTTTGGAGTATATTTTATTTTATTATCAGATGGCGGTAAAAATTTGCAGTGGGCTCTTGGACTATTATGATTTGATTCTGTATGCGCTAGGGATACAAATCCGAGTTGGGCAATGTATAAACTGGAACATTGCAATCAAAAGTGCCGACACAGAGTGAGCGAACTGATTCTTTGACTATAAACTGTGGTCCAGTCATGTATGTAGTTAAAAGGTTTGTAATGGAAATTCTCACATGAAAAGGAAATAATAAATACTGAAAATATGGAAAAAAATATGACAAAAGAAACACCCAAGCCAAAATTTTCTCTTAAATTAGTAGTTGTATCTGGGCCATCTTCACCGCTAGTTGTTAAGAAATAAGCGAAGCTTAAAACGGCATTTCTAATGAAAATATGTCACTTTAAGCTTGGTATATTTTTTAACGACTACCTGTACAAATGAACCTATGTGAAATAAAGAAGAAAAACAACAAAATCTCAAATTAAACTATAAGGGAAAAAGAGAAAATCTCAGAGACCGTGTCACACAAAATACGAGCGATAGAATTTCCAAACAGTATAGTGATAATAAAATAAGTCACAAATCTGCACGTTGGCTCTAGAACTATTACAATGGGAGGAAATAAAACATTAGCTAAATACTTAGTAATAGTAAATATGATAACAAATTAAAAATCAACATAAAACCCATGATGATGAAGTTGATGCTGACTGTAACATAATAAAATAGTGTGTGGTATTAAAAGTTGTAAGGTCAATTTTATTAGTTTTTTTTGACCATTTCAATTTTTAATACCACACTATTTTATTCTCTTACACTCAGTATCAACTTCATCAACATGGATCCACGTTGATGTTTAATAATATCATATTAAAAGCTACTCGATCGAAGGGTAACAAGATTGCAGATAATCTCACAAGGAAGGTCCAACACTTTTTGTGGGACGTGAGCCATTTTACAGTATCAACAGTAACACAATATTAGGAAAAATTAAAAAGAATTGGACTTCTGGGTGATTAACTAAAAAATATTGAAAGGTTGTAGCAGTCCGAGCAAGAACAGGTTTCGCATAGTAACAGGGATGTTTACCAGGAATTGTCGACTTAAAAGACATCTTAGTAAAATGGGACTAGTAGAAGATAGTGAGTGCAGATTATGTAAGGAGAGCGAAATATCCATTTTCATTATGATTGAAGGGCATACCAAATTAAAAGAGGCGATCTGCTCAGCTTGAAGCCACTCCAAATCTTCCTTGGGAAGCGTCGTTATAGATATCGAGACTATTTCCTTGATATCTTAGCGATAGAAGGGGGCGCAATAAATCTTTTATGTTGCACTGTATTAACATATCGTATATACAGGGTGTTAAAAAAAAGTGTCACAAAATAAAACGGGGGGTAGTATGGGCCAAAATATGCAGAAAAGTCTTAATAAACATATGTCCGCAAATGAATGGTTTCAGAGATACGGAGTGTTTTGTGTTTTGTATCATTTTTTGATTATCTTTTTTCATTCCCAAAAACTTGCTTTTCTTATCGGAGTCTACCGATGTTTTTTCATAGATACTATTTGCAGTTATTATTTTGTTGTGGGTGAATAATTTTATAAATTTTCGTTATGCCTGTTTACACTAATATTGAATTAGCTGACATGCATTTTATGTACGGTCGTGCAAATGGCAATGCGAGGGAAGCGCTACGTCAGTATTTGAACATCTCATTTAACTCTATGTTGTTATTGATTGTTTATAAATATCATTGTTTTTTTATAATAATAAAAAATTGTTATAAACACAAAATGGTCCGTATCTCCGAAACCGTTAATTTGCGGTCATATATTTATTAAGACTTTTCTGCTTATTTTGGGTCATACTATTCACCATTTCATTTTGTGACACTCTTTTTAACACCCTGTATATATACGTGGTCATTTGAAAACGAGACAGCCAATATTAAGCACCCCAGGTCACTTAGGAAAAAACGCTCGGACCCGTCAATTTTTAATTGTAGGGAGAAACATTTGTTTGCCATTTTTACCTCCCAAAACGGAAACCCTCTAGCAGGGGCCAGACTCATCCCTAAAATCTTAAATAGAAAGAGTGATCGAATGATATCTTATTTTGAAGGTATTTTTACCTAGATTATAACCCCTGAGTTTTAAATCGCTAGTCTTCCTAACCATGTGCTTTTAACGATTTTTGTTTTCTTTAAATGCTGGAAATGCTTACTCTAGATTTTGTTCAAAACGCTCTCTGCCATTCTGTGGGGTGATTTGATGACATTCATCAAATATCCGTTGTCACAGATTTTCCAGTGATGTTGGCTGGGTGGCATAAATTTTAGTTTTTAAGTGGCCCTATAAAAAATCTAACGGGGTTAGATCCGGGGACCGTGGAGGCCACACAATACTTCCTCTTCTTCCGATCCATTGATCTGGAAACGTTTGATCTAAATACTAACGAACAATCAGTGCAAAATGGAGTGGTAGAAATGTTTCGAGGTAGATGTATGTGGAAAATGTATATATTTAGTTTATCCTCTAAACATTTATAGATGTGCTGCAATAAGTTGTACAAAATAACCGGAAAAAGCCTATAATAACTAGATAGGAAAGTCATGTGTTGGACATACAGATTTTTTAATAACACTGTAAAAATTATGTTAAACCGGTTTTGTACTTTTGGTGAGCCACTGGGCTACGTAGTACGTAGATAGCAGCGATATAAAATTCGGGGGTTATAATCTAGGTAAAAATACCTTCAAAATAAGATATCATTCGACCGCTCTTTCAATTTAAAATTTTATGAGTCGAATCCTTTTTTTTATTCCGCTAGAGGGCGTAAAGTGAAAAGTAAAGCAATGCTAAATTTCCCAAAAAATGTCATACTTGGCACTTTCCCTAATTAGGCATTCCAACGACCTGTCAAACAATAGGTGCCAGTGGGAAATTCTTGTATATTTAAGGGGGTAGCGACATAGTCTTGCAACTTGGACGCTATTTTTATTCGAAGTAGTACTCGCCAAGCCTGCCAATTTATGAAGAAATGTATAGGTGGGTTTTTTAAATATTATTTTTATTGTGTTTGACATAAAATATTTAAATGTAATCCATTATTCATGATTTTACGTAAAGTAGATAGAATACACCATATTTCGCCACCCTTAGATATACCAAACCTGCCCACTGGTAATTCATTTGTTTGGAATGCCTAATTTAAATTGTCTTGGTTAGATTGACGGATGGGAG